GTCTCTAACTAACTAGGATTACACAGAAATAACATAGTTAGCATGTTAAAAGGACCCCTGTCTAACCTACTAATAAAAAAGGTAAAAAAAGTTCCTTTACTAAAAACTAAAAGCTTAGGCTGTCTGCCTAATAAAAAAAAAGCTAAAGAAAATCTTTTTTAAAGAATTTAAAAAAAAATAAGACCTTAATTAAGTTAGAATTTACTAAATAGCTTATAAAGTAACTAGACTGCTAGAAAAGTACTAAGACTATAAAAATATGTTTAAAACTTTAGAAGATCTAGAAGAACTGCTACTACACTAGCTCTAAAATTATGCTATTAACTTTAAGCTAAACTTATAATTAAAAACTTATAAACTATAACTTTTAATAAAAGCTTAAAAAGACGCTTTATAGGAGTATGTAGACAGAATGCTAGCCTAAGAACACATTAAGGAAAGCAATAGCCTAGTAGCATTAGCAGTAGTCTTTACAAAAAAAAATAGTAAAGTAAAAGTATGCTAAAATTACTGCACTTTAAATAATAATACTATAAAAGACTAATACCCTCTACTAATTATCTAAAATATTATAAATTAACTTAAAGAAACTAAACACTTTACTAAGTTAAATGTCTAAGACAGATTTAATAAAATTAGGATTAAAAAAGGACATAAGTAAATAACAGCCTTTTAAACTTTAAAAGGACTATATAAACTTTTTATTATGCTATTTAGCCTAACTAACGCCCTAGCAACCTTCTAATAAGTTATTAATACTACACTTAATCCCTACCTAGATATATTTATACTTATGTATTTAAATAATGTTCTAATATACACTAAAAAAGACTAAGTAGACTATGTATCTAAAGTAAAACTTATACTTAACTAACTTTAATAGTATAAACTCTACTTATAACTAAAAAAATGCAAGTTTAATATATAAAAAACTAAATACTTAGAATTTATTATTAATAAAGAAGAAATAAAGATAGACCTTACTAAAGTAAATAAGGTACTTAATTAGCTAACACTAATAATAGTAACAAAAATTAAAGGATTTCTAGGCCTTACTAGCTACATATAAAGAATAATTAAAGACTACTTAAAAATTACGCTCCCCCTTATAGACGCCACCTTAAAAGAAAGAGCAACTTAGAAATTCTAATAAATAGCAGAAATAAAAAAAGCCTTTTAAAAGCTAAAATAAATAATAATAAGCTACTCTATTCTTAGAATGTATAACTTTAGGCTAGAAATAAGGGTGCACACTAATGCTTTTTTAAGAGCAGAAGGAGCAGCACTCTTCTAAAAATAAAAAAATAATTAATAGCATTTAGTAGCCTACTACTTAGCAAAATTTGCACTATTAAAGTAAAAATATACTATCTCTAACAAGGAACTAAAAGCTATAGTAAATGTATATAAAAACTAAGAAGTTAAACTTTAAAGCTTTAGCTAGTAATTTATAATTTTTACTAACTACATAAACCTTATTACTTTTTTTACTACTAAAAAACTTTTACTAATGCATGTATAATAAGCTATAAAACTTGCCTAATTTAATTTTATTATTAAACATGTAGCTAGGAGCAGCAACTAGTAGGTAGACGCCCTAAGTAGATGTGCTAATTACTTTAAAGAAAATAAAATTTTTTTTAAGAAATTTATAATTTTTAAAAAAACTTTAGAAAGACTAGTTTATAAAGGACTAAACTAAAAAAAACTACTATGTTCCTTTATAATAGTTAAACAAAGATAAAAGAACTTAATAAAAAAATATTATAAAGCCCCTATGTTTAGACACCTAGAAATTAGATTACTACAGAAGAAAATTAAAAATGCTATACTTTAAGAAGTACCTTAATTAAAACACTTATGTACTAAAGTCTTATAAGAATGTAACACTTATAATAAAAATAATCTCTAACACTATAAACTCTATAGACTACTTTAACTAATTACAGTGCTAAGTTAACTATAGACTATAATAACTATAGACTTTATTACTAGGCTACTACTATTACAAGAACCTAGCACAGAAAGACTATACAACATAATTATATAAGTTATTAATAAAACTACTAAATTTATTTACCTATAGCTATTAGAAAAAAGTATTATAGCTAAAAAATTTATATTTAAATTAAAAAAAAACATCTTAGCTATTTATAGTTACTCTAAGATTATTATCTTAGACTATAATAAATTATTTACTAGCAAATTCTAGATAGCTGTAGTTAAATATCTTAAAATTAACTATAAGCTCTTTACTACCTACTATCTATAAATAGATAGATAAATAGAAAGAGTAAACACAGAAGTAGAGAAGTATCTATGTAAGTATGTATTATATAAATAAACTAACTAGGCAAAATAGCTACTAATAGTGTAATTTGCTATTAATACTACAAAATTAGCTATAACTAAAGAAACTTTATATAAAGCTAATTTTAAATACCTTTTATAATATAAACTGCATAGCTTGTAACTAACTAACTTTTTAGAAGCTATAAACTATGCAACTAGACTTCTAGAACTATATTAGAAACTTACTAAAAAAGCGCAGTTAGCCTAGAAAGCTATAGAAAAGGCAGTAAATTAAAAAAAAAAACTAGCACTAGAAATACACCCTAATAATTACATATATTTAGATATAAAAAATCTTAAAATACTAAAACTTTCTAAAAAACTAGCTAAGAAACACATAAGACTATACTAAGTTATATAAACATACTCTAACATTTGTAAACTTAAACTACTAAAGAAAATATAAATACATCTTTAGTTTTATATTTTTAAGCTTAAACTTATGCTTAGAACTATTCTACTTATAACTACTAGATAAAAAGAAGAAGAAAAGAAATATAAAGTAGAAAAAATTTTAAACTATAAAGAAAATAAGTACTTAGTAAAATAAAAAAGATAGCCTACTAGTAAAAACACTTAAGAACTTATTAAAAGCCTATTAAACACTTCTTAGGCCTTTTATAAATACTTAAAGTCCCTTTTAAATAAAACTATTTTAAAAAAAGTTTTTTAAACTAAAAAACACTATTATTAGTTAAAACTGCAGCAGTATTAGCTAGCTATAATGTAAAAAGTTTGCAACCTTTTAATATAGGTTAAGAAGAAGAAAGACTAGCTACTTTTACTTTAAGCACTTTAAGTTTATTTAGTAATAAGAAGTTTTCTTTTAAATACTTTACTTTTTAATTTACTAAAACCTTTAACTGCTTTTAAGCCTGTTTTTACTAAGCTATAAAAGACTAAAGACGCCTTAGAGACTTAGCTTATTTTTAAATTTTTTTTTTTTTTTTTTTTTTTAGCTACTTTTAGCTTCCTAAGCAGCTTCTTCTTTTTACGCTTTAGATAATTCTAGGCTGCATTAGAAATAAAAGTGTTACAGTAACTACTTTTTTACACACACTCTACACACTTGTCTAATAATAAGGACATTACGCAGGAGGAACTATAAGACTAGTATAAACTACAGGGACGCATTTTTATATAATAAAAAGGATTAAGATAAGTAACAGTATAAAGGCAACAGGCAACAGCAGAAGTACAAGAAACCTAATAAGGCATAGTTAAAAAGGTTTAACATAGGACTAGCCTTTAAAGAAGAGAACGCACTAGCTAAAAAAAAAACCTAACACTTATAATAAAAAGAATGTAACAGTAAGGACGCTAACTAGAAGGGAAGCCTGCGTGTTATAGCTAATAGTTAGACTGTAATAACCTAACTAGCTGTCCTACACAGCCTAAACAACATTAGATAGAAAACACTTAGCCCTACACTAAGCAAATTATATAATAAGATAGATAAGGAATAGCTTTAGCTTTTAGACAAAAGCCTAGCAGAGTGCACTGTCTAATAGGAACTTAGGCATTGCAGGCAGTGCAGGCATTGCAGGCTGTTGCAGGTAACGCATGCAACGCCTGCAACACATGCAAACGCATGCAAACCCTATGTATATAGTTCTGTTTACAACTATAGTTAGAAGGTTATAATTACTATTTAGTCTTTACCTACCTAATAGACTAAGAGGCATTAAAACCTTTATAAAAAGGACAAAGCTGCCTTGTATATCTTGCACTATATATACCTCCTTTTCTATCCTTACAGATTAGGTTTACTAGCTCCCTATACAGCTACTAGGTTAAACTACAACCTGCCTTCTTTATCCCGCATGCCCTATACTCCGCTCGACGGACTGTACACCCGATCCAGCTAAGTTCTACCCCTACCGCTAACACTACCTTAGGCCGTCGTGCTCCCGAAAATACCAACTCGTCGGAGCAAGGATTGTAACATATTGTTAGGAATCTATTAGTGTAAAAAAAGTAGTTTAGTAAGGTCTTAGTAAAAGTAAGTAACTTAGGTGTGTAAGCAACTTGCCTGTAAAGCATGTTAGTGTGTTTATAATAAAGCTTTTAAGAAACTAAAAGCATAGTTAGAGATAAAAAAACTAGACATAATAAATAGGTTTATATAAAGATGTTTACTAGATAAAGGAAATCTCTAATACTTGCAGCAAACGTTACAAAGCGGCAAGGACGCTGCTAGAGAGAAAAGGCTATGTGTTACAACCTAGGATAGGGCTGTAAGCAAGTGCTAGACAGCTCTAGAAGTGTACAATTACTATTAGTAGACAACCTTCTTAGCTACACAGTACTAGGCTTAGCGTAGCCTAGCCGGAACAGTCGGGTCATGGTATACTAATTAGGCATAGCTGACCGCAACAACCGCAGTAACCGCAGAAGGGAATCTGCAGACACAACAGTCACTACAGTTAGAACAGTTACTATAGCAAGTATATAGTCTTAATATTAACTATAGTTAGAAGGTTGTAATTAAAGTTTAGTTTTATCTTTATAATAAGACTAATTAGCTATAACTATTTTTAAAGATGTTATTACTCTTATATATCTTACTCTATATATACACTCTAATTATTATCTTAAAGAGATTGTTTCCCTACGCTTCTTATACGGCGCTAAGAGACAAACCACGATCAGCCCACCTATCTCCGCCGCCCTCTAGTTACGACCTAGGACTATACACCCTAGCCGCGTAACTATCTTCTATCCGCGCCATAACCCCTCCCTGGACCCGCGCACCGAACCTCGCGTCCTGGTTAGCACGTTACTAGTGAGTGGATATCGTAACATGTACCTAAAGGTACGTACAAGAATACTTAAGCTAAGTATTCTCGTATAGTATAATATATATATAGATAATGCTAGGGCTAGCACTAGCACTAGCGGTTGTCTCTAGTCTAGCCTAAACCTCTATAAGCAAGAGAAGGCCACGTGGTTGACTGTGCCTACCTTGTTACAATTTATATATTAAAAAGCTTATTTATAGTATGTCTTAACACGTACAGGCTATACAGCGTGCGTGTTTGTACTAGACTAAATACTAAGAATATTGTAATACTAGAAGTCTTAAAATTGCATTAAATTACTATGTAGTTGACATACAATTGCAATGCAATAATGCTGGGTAGAATGCGTGGGGCTCGTGTTGGTGGCTTGGCGAACCAGACTTTTGGCATAGTACGTTCCATCCCAGCTGTCCCCCATAAGAGCTTTGAGCTTTGGGATGGTGAGCAGCGAGCATAACCAGGCGTATGACTGAGCGTAGAGTGGGGATAAGGGCGGGTTAGGATAGGAAGAGGGTAGGGCAGTGGGGATGAAGAAACCGATGTTGGCGTTGCCGCCTTTAGCCCGAGCGCGCGAGCACGATGTCACCTAGGCGGGCTGGAACTGTCGAGCCGAACCTGTATAAGTCGACGGGATCGCGGGTTTCGTAGCTCTCTCGCTTCGCCAGAGCTTCGAATTTTGGAGGTGGAGTTGTAGGGATGGTCGTTCTGTGCACAGCATTCACGCTCTTCGCCGAGTCTAGTAGGTTGATGCTAGTCTTGAGTTTCGATTGCGGCCACAGTGCGGGATAGAATGAGAGGTAGGGTTTGGGTAGTACTGTACGATGGTCCATGGTACTGTGGAAGCCAGAGAAATGCTGCATGGCAAATTCTCCGAGGAGAGACGCGAGGCCGAGGTTAATAGCCGGGTCCAAAGTTTCGGCGAAGATGCGTAAGTAGGTAGTGCTGCGGATTTGGGGGTTGATTCAGGAACGCCGATGCTGTCGTCAATTACTTGAGTAAGATGGAAGAGGAAGGTAGGATAGTCTTACCGTTGGAATTCAAGCACGTCGAACTTGTCGAGGATGCCTTTGCGCTTGAGCCCAAATTTCATCATATGTTCGTAGAGATCGAATTTCTCGGCCGTGGCGTATCCGGTAGCATTAATGACGAACTCGGACTGGTAACCCGCGGCGTAGAAAATGGCGAGCTTCGTTGTTGGAGGTGGTGGTGCACCTTTGATGCCCCATACTCGGACTCTGTTCAAATTATCGGTAGTCTACCACCTAGGGGAGGCACATAGAGGAATTGGGAGAACGAGCCTATCTTTGCACTCCTGCTTAACCTGTACATCATCCAGAATCGCCTTGACATCGCTATTCAAATAAATATTACCTTGCAACTCATATATAAACTGACACTCCACCGTATCCTCAGTTACAAAACTCTTCTTAGCACTATTGTCGTGTGCGAAATTTGCTGGATTCTTGGCAATGCCAAGTAACCACTTTTGCCTCACAAATCTTATAGAGATTCAGGTAACTGCATATATCGCCCTATATAATCAACTACAACGCGTTTTATTGTAAGTGAAGCTTTTTAAATGTATAGATAAGGCCTATCTTACAAATTTTGCAGAGTAATAGATTATAGATCTGGCTGCAGTCCTCTTGCGGGCCCCTTAGGGGACGCGTCTTATAGAAGCGCGCATTCTTAATCTAGAGGCCTTGCTACCAGCCTTGTCCTACTTAAAACATAGCTAGAAGACTGCTAATTGTTGTTCTATTGTGTATTATCTTCTTATGCTTAGCGTCTCTATTCTAGAGGTCATTATCTGTTCGCGCGTGAGCCGCTCTACTGTGTACAACATCTATTAATGCCTTATGAAATATGGTACAATTACGCACCTAAGAACGCGTTAATTAGGGCGTCCTCCTAGGCTTACCCTAGCAGACTAGGAGGCTTTATTTAATAAGCTTGTCGCGCATGGCTAGATGTACTAGGATAAGATGAAGTAGTGGTTGTACGCAGAGCGCAGGGTGCTTATTAATTAATTAAATATCTCTAAGATGCTAAAGAAAGAGGGCTAGAATAAAAAGGCTATTAAACTACTGTTAGTTAAGCAGAGTAAGGACCTTTATAATAACTATTGTTGTATTATAATAAACTATACAGCAGATTAGTTAGTTTTTATTAATAAGTTAAATTTTAACAAAACAATAGGCTAAAGGCGCCGCGCGTACAGTCTAATTAGTGACAATAATTAATACGCTAGGGATAGAGATTGTGGGCGAGCATAGTTAATTCTACTAGCTTACTCCCTCTGTTATAGATACCTTAATTATACAGCGTTTTAGTAGGGCTATTTTAATACAGAAAGTCTTCTTAATTAGATAAAAAACTAGCTTCTGCTAGCTATTAATTATTAGTTTAAGGGACGCGTAATGTGTATTATTTTAGATAACTGCTTTGCTTACTGCAATAAGAGGATACCTAACGCGATTTAAAGAGAAGGCTATACAGTACAGTTTCTGCTGTTGTACTTGCCTAACTATAATCTAATTAAGCTAACTTTCTTAGTGCTAAAGGCCTAAGTTTAGCGCTACTACTACTATTACTAACATAAGTTTAACATATTTAGAGACTTCCTAAGATTTGCTATTAGTAAGAGTTACTGTAATTAATTTACTACTAAGCACTTCTAGCACGCTAGTAGAGGAGGACTATACATTAAGGATAAAGTATTTAATAGAGCAAATGCCTAGATAAGGGCGTACAAGAGGGGTAAGGTTAACAGGTAGCAGCCGCAGTAGCAATCTAGATTATATAGTAACATAAAGTATTATTATACAGCAGGCCTGCAATAAGCTGCTTTATTATTCTATACTATCTGCTGTGCAAATCTAGGACCTAGTGTCTAAACTAATTAATGTTACCTTTTATAAATCCCCCTCTACTAATCTGTAGGTTAACTAGAGCTTCTGCTGCTAGTGCAGCCTTCTTTTAACAGTGCTATAGTTTAAACCTACCTAAATAGTGTCTAAAACTGCGCGCAATTCTATCTAACGTACTTCATGGGCGAGTTGCTCACACACCTGAGTCGCTTACTTTTGCCAAGACCCCACCAAACCACCCTTCCTACACTAATGCATTCCCCACAACACTACTTAGACGCGCTAAAAGAACGTTAGATACAGCTTACACTCTAAGCTTTTAAATAAGACATAAAACTTTTAAAGAAATATGCTATAGCTATGTGTAAAGTCCTATAAAAGACAATAAATAACTATAGCACTAGACAACTTTTACAAGCTAATTCTACAGCTAAATTACAAAGGCTAGGCAATAAAAAGGAGCAGGTGATTGTTAAGACTATACTTAAGCTATATGCGCAAGGAATTTCCCCTTAGATAGCATTTATAGCTAATATAGCTAATTCTTTGCGCGCTAAGCATAATCTAGGCCATGTTTACATAAACTAGCCTAGTACATTTATAAAGCGTTATTTAAAGCTTAAAGTAAAGTTTTAAGCGCAAGTATAGTTAAGAGATATCTAGCTAATTATAAACCCTATCTTGCTAAAGTTGTACGTGTTATTATCCTAGATGCTATACTTAGCTTTAATATTCTCTATAAGGCTAAACCTGCCCTAAATTACCCTAGGACTCTTGCAGAGGGCTCTCTTATAGTTGTACTTACGCTTAAATGTTACTTTAAGCTCTAAATAACGCTTCACAAACGTACTAGGCTAGTTTATGCAAACATGGCCTAGATTACGCTTAGCGTGTAAAGAATTAGCTATATTAGCCACAAATGCTATCTAAGGGGAAATTCCTTGCGCATATAGCTTAAGTATAGTCTTAATAATTACCTGCTTCTTTTTATTGCCTAGCCTTTATAATTTAGCTGTAGAATTAGCTTGTAAAGGTTGTCTAGTGCTGTAGTTATTTGTTGTCTTTTACAAGACTCTGCATATAGCTACAGCACATTTCTTTAAGAGTTTTATGTCTTATTTAAAAGCTTAGAGCGTAAGCTGTATCTAACGTTCTTTTAGCGCGTCTAAGTAGTGTTGTGGGGAATGCATTAGTGTAGGAAGGGTAGTTTAGTGGGGTCTTGGTAAAAGTAAGCGACTCGGGTGTGTGAGCAACTCGCCCATGAAGTACGTTAGTAGATAATAGTCTGCTGTTGCTAGTTTGTATAGTTTAGACGCTAGATCCTTTATGCCTTTAAAGTTATCTAAACTCTAGAAGTTAGCAGTTGCAGTCTTCTTTACGCGCTTAAACTTTAGCCTCTAAGCTTTAGTTTTCTACTACTTAATTATCTAATTAAAGAACTCCTTTACTAAATTATATTTATCCTGCAACAGATTTATAGAGCTTAAGGCTTAGGTAGGCAATTAGTTCACAGCAACATTCGCTTGAAAGGCGCTGGGCAGAGGATTGTACGGCGGGGGAAGGTTGGCGAGAGCTGGAGCTAGAGTTAGAGCTGCAGGAGCTGCAGGAGCGGCAGGGGCTGCAGGAGCTGGTGGAGCTGGTGGAGCGAGAGGAGTGAGAGGAGACAGATAGCTAGATACCTAGTTATAATAAGAATTTAGGTATAGGTAAGGCTAGCGCTAATCTGCGGCTAGTTTCCTACTAAACTCTAGTTTCTTAAGCTTTTTACAACAACGCTGCTCTCTTTTCTTCTTCTTATTACAGCGCTGCTCTTTATTCTTAATTCTTTTCTGCATACACTTAAGCTTATCTTTTATTATAATATTTTAATACATCTTCTGCGCTTCCTTTATATAATTAGCTATAGAGTTCGCCTGCGCACTGTAACGCTAGGCTAGTGTTTAATAACTAGGTGTTAAGCCCTCTTAATTAATTGCGCCTTTACTATACAGATTGTTCTTTTGCTGCTCTAGAAGCGCTATAACTAAAACACTAGTGTTACTCCTCTCTAAAGCAGAGGCCTAAACATTAAGGTTAGTTTACTTTATTTTAAAGTAAGAGCCTAGCTGTTCTGCTGTGTTATAATAGCAAAAGTTACTAATGTTTAGGCAGCTAGAATTTTAGCACCTCTATGTTTAAATAAGAGTGTTTATAAACTTGCTGTGTGTTTAGTAACCTTAGAGTTACTAGATTAAATTTATGTTGTGTAGCGCTATACTGCGCAACCTTTAGCTGTTATCTACTAGAGCAGCTAGTGCTAGGGAACTATTAAGAGCAGCAATAACCTTAGCTGTTACACTAGGAGTTTTGCCCTTTTTCTTTGTCTGTTGTAGCTGCCTAAGTTTAGTAAGGGCCTTACATCTAGTCTTTACTTTAAAGGTTAGTTAGACTGTGTTTTTTAAAAAGTTAAAGTACTTTTTATTAGTAATACTAATTACCTTTTTTATACAGGCAGATCTAAAGTTAGCAATTATATAGGAGTAGTTTTTAGCCCTTTTATTAATAGATTTAACTATAACTTTATAGCTTATAAACTTAACGTTCTTAGCGCTGCATTTCTTAAGAACTGTGTTAACTACTATCTCTTTAATCTGCTCCTAGACCTCTGTAAAGGCTGTTTAATAATTATTACCTTTTAAATAAGTAAGAACAGTAGCCTTATTAACCTAAACTTATACAAAGAGCTAGATAACATAGTTAAACATAAAATTATAATTAACATACGCATTAACTACCTTTTTTTTTATAAACTTTGCAGTGTTAAAGGTATCTAGCGTCTTTTTTGCATAGCGCTTTAATTCTTATTGTAAGTCCTTCTTTATAACTTTAACTTGCTACATTTTCTTTAATAGGATCTAACTATTATAACCGCGCGTTCTAGCAGGTTCTACAGTGGAGGTGTTGTGACAACAAATAACTAGAGGCGTCTGCTTGTTATATGCTAGCTCCTTAAGCTCCTTTTTCTTATTATTATTATAATCTTTACTAGCAACGCCCTTCTTATGCAGTAACCTGCGCGATTTAATAAGCTTTTAGTAGTGCATAGTTTACACCTCTGCCTTCTCTAATTAAGCCCTTAAACTACCTGCAGGAGCTCTTCTCTTTGTAATAAACAGATTTAGCAACGCAGGGCGTTTATTAGGAGCTTTAGCAGGTGCTCTGGGAGGAGCTGGAGTTAAAGCAGCGCGTACGCTACCTCAAGCAACTCTACCAGCCCTCCCACCGCGCGCAGCGCTCCTACTGCGTGGAGCTGGTGCTAGAGTACTTACAGCGCGCTCTTTAAAGGCAGTAATACTATAGTTGTTACTCTTTTATTTGTTATAAGTTAATTAATAAGTAGTAAGAGCATTCCTAGCTATCTGTTTGTGTTAACAACAAAGATAAGTAATTTAGGGTATAATTAGCAGTAACTACTCTAAAAATTAGTAAGATAAGGCTAATAAGGTCTATTAAAAAGCCTTACTTACTATACAACGTCCTTCTCCTATTTAGTGGAGTGTATAGAGCGATATGTGCAGTTACCTGAATCTTAATGAGATTTGTGAGGGAAAAGTGGTTACTTGGCATTGCCAAGAATCCAGCAAATTTCGCACACGACAATATGTTTTGTAATCA